ACATAAGACACAACCTTCATGGATGATACACAAGACACTACCTTCATGGATGATACACAAGACACTACCTTCATGGATGATACACAAGACACAACCTTCATGGATGATACACAAGACACAACCTTCATGGATGATACACATGACACAACCTTCATGGATGATACACAAGACACAACCTTCACAAGACACAACCTTCATGGATGATACACAAGACACTACCTTCATGGATGATACACAAGACACAACCTTCATGGATGATACACAAGACACTACCTTCATGGATGATACACATGACACAACCTTCATGGATGATACATTTGACACAACCTTCATGGATGATACACAAGACACAACCTTCATGGATGATACACAAGACACTACCTTCATGGATGATACATTTGACACTACCTTCATGGATGATACACAGGATACCACCTTCACGTATGACACACCAGACATCACCATCATGGATGACACACAAGTCACCATCTTCATGAATTACACACCAGACAATACCTTCATTGATGAGAAACAAGACACCACCTTCATCGATGACACACAGGACACCACCTTCATGGATGACACTCAAGTCACCATCTTCATGAATTACACACAACACACCACCTTCATGGATGACACACACGACACCACCGTCATGGATGACACACAAGACACCACCTTCAATAAAGACACACGAGACACCAGTGGATTTAGCATCTGACCTTAAAAGGGAAGGCGGGTGGTTCGATCCTATGCTGTATCAAACAACATTATGACAAAAGATCGTACGTGTTGTTATCCTCTGTGGCGCGCAGTATCAAGGGCACCGTGTGAGTGGCGAAAGCTGTTAAACTTCGGCAAAGCATCTCAGTTGGCTTGCAATAGAAGACCGACATTAGTCTACCCCACTAAGCTACCCCACCTCCCCGAAACAATTTTGAACACGACGTTAATCCCCATTTCATCTCATAGCAAACCAGTTAGCTCTCACATTACATCACATCGGCTAGACTAACACTAAGCCTCTAAGAATATATATAAATTTGAAAAAAACACATATATCCATTTAAATTGATATAGAGCCCCAGTGAAATGCGAGAATCAGAACGCTAGGGAATCTAGACTCTCTTCATCAAGGGCTTTAGCAGAAAGGATAAGCGGAAGGGAAAATAATGCGGTTCAGGTATTGTGAGACAGACTACATATCGGCATGTATTCCGAATTGAGTTACATGGTTGTTTTGTCTTGCAACAAGAGTTATGTCCCTTATACGAAGAAGATGGGCATATACTGAAAGAGTTGTACAGTTGAGACCCAAACTGGCACCTTTGGCCAAAATTACCAAACCTTGCACGCTCATGCAATGAAAGATTTACTATTCCGAACATATTCAGATAAAGCCGCCTATGGTGTTCGAAAAACCCAAGATGGCCGCCAACTTGGCTGAAAGATCCAACAATATCAACCTGTACTCCTAATAGACAGACAGACAGATATTTTATTTAAGTCTCACCTCTCATATCATAATTATCTAGTCAATCTTCGTAATGTATTCAGGAATCAAATAGCATCGATGCTGTAATTAAATCAACGAATATGTTGTTGAATTTGCTGAGCATTTTTGGCAATACAATCTGTTATCAAATTATGTAACCAAATTGGTAGTCCTTTTCCGTCGAATAATTTGAATGGTTACATGTAATTCAATACAATGCTCTTTCAGCACGCACAGAACGTGTTTCACGGGCTCCAGAGAAAAGAACACACACACACACACACACACACACACACACACACACACCGTCAATTTCTTGACCGTTCAAGAACCATTGTGCTTGTGTTTTGCAAACATATTATACTATTTACTTTTTGACGGTGAGTCATGGACACGTTGTCATAATAGTATTAACACGGAAAAACTAGACAAAGTTTTACCAATATTTTACAACGATAAATGCGTTATTGAAAACTGGAAATATTACATACTAACCGACTTCGTTCCTCAATCTTAAACTTGCCAAGGGTCACATTGGATAACGAGCATCGGACTTAATCCGGGACCAGTATCTCTAAAGCTAACAGAACCAAGGTGCATTACGTTTATCTGTCTTTACGGCTGTTTGTTTTCCACGTTGGTCAAGTCACGTGTGTGCCACATATACCTTCGTGGCATACTAGCGACTGGCCATCGATGCTTCGGTCCAACTAAATGACATAATCTCACATTCACAATAACAACGTTATCGTAAGTTTTATCTGTAAACGCGATTATTTGCGATAGCTAGAAGAGATATATATTACGGATGATAGTCACAAATCAGCTGGTGGCTGTCTAGTAAATTCACTCAGGTAAGAAACTTTACTTCCTTCTACTCTGACATACTATTGTTATTCTATGTTAACTTTAACCTATTGTAAATACCTTTACTATAAGTTACCACCCTTGTCAGTACCTTGAGGTTTATATGGAACGAGGCATTCCTTAGTATGTGTCTCACATCTTCGGTATTACAGTTTAGGATTGTTTATTTAATTTAATACTGATTGACACTACACTGTTTTGTGACTATTATAGAATGTATAGAGTGTGTCGGATATTTTAACTATTGTATTACGTTGTGAACACTATGCTGTTTGGGACCGTTGCAGAATGTAGATTGTATGAACCCCCACTGGGGTGATGTGTAGAATATTGAACTATTGTTGTGTACATTGGAATATGTATCGCGATTAATGTAGTATGTGTCGTGTATAACGAATCTACATGTGATGTTTATGTACTTTGATATCTGATTGCATTGTGAACATGTTCTAATAATTAATTGTAAACTATGCTATTATTGACTGATTATGTAAAATCGTTCAGCGACTGCTGTGTAATAAACTCCTTGTTTATTTACTCAGGTGTTGTGTGTGGGTTGGTATGGGCAGACCTCTTGCCAAGCGAGCTAATTCCTCAACACTCGCGTTTTAACAATAGTTTACCTTTAGTAGCATTTATTTCGTTGGATGACTGTTGTCCGCAGGCGATGACGTTTTATAACATACAATCATTGAAAGGATTTTGTCGATTTCATGGAGCCCAAATCTCGTTCCCAGAAATCTATTCAGAAATAGAAAGCGCAGCACGCTTTTCGGCTACACATACGAACACGGCGCACTATTGACCCCATATCTTTTCATCGTGAACGCTTTTCATTCAATATAGAACAAACTTTATGGATAACAACTTCTTATTTATTCGTGAGTGCGGGGTTTCTATACAGATTATTGTACCGTTGTCAAGCATAATGGAACATGAAGAAGGGGGGAGTGTATATATACTGAATGTAACAAAGAAAACAACATAATTAACATAATTGGCTAGGCAGAAAGCTGATGAAGCCAGAGAGTAGACAAAGGGCAGGCGTGGAAGCCAATGATGTACAAATGGTAATGAGATGTTTATACAGCAGAGTTTATACAGTAGATTGGGCTTGGTGGATGAGTGCATCATAAGCGGATGGAATGAAGTATCCTTGGTCTCTGTTGATGGTGGGCTTTTGGCGTTTGATGTGAACGGCACCGAAGCCATCCACATCAAACGCCAAAAGCCCACCATCAACCGAAGCCATCCACATGTTTGTTCTATATTGTACTTCCCAACTTCTAAAATGCCACTCAAAGAAGCTTTTCATTCAGTTGGCTGAGTGACGACTAACGAGCTAGAAGAGAAAATCGCAGCTGCTAACGTACCCAAGTGATACATACATTTTGCTGTAGTACGCAACTCTTATTCCAATTTTCGTTGACCATGGATGACTGTGAGTACAATAATTCTCAGAATGACTGTGCCACCTTGTGTATGTATACATAAGAGTGTGCCGGAAGGAAATAGAGACGAGGCTTGTAAAGGTTGATAACTGTACAGTGATGTTGGAAGTTATTCACAGTCAGAGTCCACTGAGACATAGATAATACTGTTATTAGACTGGAGTATCAGTATGTATTTTGTAATAAAAATAGTATGTATATGAAGAAATAAACTGAATAACTTCCACGAAAACAAAAACAACAACAATACGCTTAATGCCGTGGCAAGTCCGCGTCGGTGACATGATATTCAGTACATATGGGAAAGTCTTTGACAGTGGGATATTTGGTTTTACAGTGATTGGAAAGGATTGTTGGTTGCTGTTTAACGCCGCATTCAGCAATATTCCTGCTATATGGCGACGGTCTATAAATAATCAAGTCTGGACTAGATAATCCAGTGATCAGCAGCATCAGCATCGATCTACACAATTGGGATACGATGTGTCAACCAGGTCAGCGAGCACGACCACCCGATCCCGTTAGTTGGCGTAAAACTAAACTCACTCACTCACTCATTTTAACAGCCACGTTTCATATTATCTACAAACATTATGGTTTTATCTTTTAGGGGCCCAAGATAGTGTAGACGTCGGGTCTGTACCATGTACACCCAAAACTAGTGTTACTGAGAGGTAAGACATTTTGCATTTCGTTATATGTTTCAGGTATTTAAATCTGAAACAGTAGCATGGCTTGCGGTGTGATGATGTAGTGCTGTTGTAAAACTATATCTGTGAAGAGGCTTTTAAAAGGCTATATTATCTATGTTACCCTACTTAATTATGGTTCTGAAACGTTGCACTAAAAGACCCAAACCTACCTACCTTAAAAACGTGCTCGTATGTCCGTCAACGTCATAACAACAACATTACACGAATACATTATTTCTATAATTAAGAATCGAAAACTTGCACAGAGCAAATCTCTGCCAAATATGACAATAGGGAAAGGTTAGAGCTATTATGCCCGAGCAACCATAATCTACTTAATGGAAGATACGCCTTCCAAGCAGTCTATATTGTTTCAGAAAAGATGTTGGAATATTCGCATCCAGGTATATAACCGAAACATTTAGAAACAGTTCAGTCAAACAGACCCATAATCACATTACTAGTATGTCATATAATCAGCACGTATAGACATGCTACTTTACATGGCTATTTCATGGTCTGTGCAAGTGATTCCTATTGCGTTACAATGTTCAATGATACTCCAGTGTAAAAGGGAATTATTGATTTGGTGAAGTACATATAGGATTCTGAAGAATATAGCCTGATCAACATGCCTGGTTGAGAATCATGCAAAATATTCATCTGTACAGTCATTTGAAGTTTCTTGTGTTAGAGGCGAGGGATTTGGTCCAGTTCAAGCTTACACAAAGGAAGAACACGATGACGTCCAATGCAGGATGAACAGCGAGAAGCGTGGCAGGGCCATCATCCTCAACAACAAAGAGTTTGTATGTGACAAGAAAACAAGAACTGGAACTGATGTAGATGCTTCAAATGTATGTGCACGTTTCAAACATCTTGGTTTTGAGGTTGTGAGGCACAACAACAAGACAGGAGAACAGATGAAAGAGACTATAACTGACGGTAGTAACGTTTTATCAACCCGTGCATTGTGTTAACTTCAAATATGAGACCTAATAGTTATTGTTTTAATCTGGAGACAAACTCTCTCCGTGACAATTGTGCGTCAGTGGATTCCAGATAATCATTTCCTTCAAGGTTTTGGGGGGCATATGTTTCTCTTTTCTAGTGTTACTCCTCGATTTCTCTTTAAAAGAAAAGGTTTGCTATGAAATCTGTTGTATTTGGTCTTGAAACAGCAAAAACACAAAAGAAATGCTACAAAAACAGGCAATATTATTGTAAAAATAACCAGGTGTATTGACCAATAGAGATGACTGCAAAGTAATTACGATGTGGCAGCTCATACAATAACCAGTCGCGGCTAGTCATAAAAATCATCTGACCGATTCCTGTTACTCAAATTATGTTTTTCTATCCCAGTGTCAGCGTTGGATTTCTCCTCCTGTGATTGTTTGGTGTGTGTCATCCTGTCTTATGGCGAGGAGGGACTGATATATGGGACAGAGGGACCTGTGCAGATCAAAGACTTTGTTGATCCATTCAAAAGGAACAAGTCTCTGGCTGGCAAACCCAAGCTATTCTTCAGTGAGTATATCATGGCTCTTGGAATTGCCGGTGGTTAGATCACTAAAGACTATGCAGTTCTCGTTATTCTGAGTGAGTGGTTAGATCACTACAGCTGTCGTTATTCTCAGCGATCGATCACTACATCTCTGGCTATCATGAATAATTGGTTAGATCACTACATTCTCGTTTTTCGAGTATTTGGATCACTTTATCTCCCGCTATTCAGGGTACGTAGTTAGGTCACGATTTTCTTGGCATTCTGAGTGATGCGGATCATTAAAGTAGTATCATATCCATAACAACGAGACTGACATTGGGCCTCCAACTTTGGAATAATGAGTTACAGAAGTTCAATGTACGGGTTTACTTTTTCCTGATAATTTTGTAAACATACAACGTCCACCCCAGAGGGTATTACTTATGAGTCTAGATTATCTGTTGGAACAGGTTCCATTGGACGTAAAACGCAGTGAACATATATGAATGAATCACTGGAAATCAGGTGACACAGTTGGTACTAATACAAATGTTGGAGAAATGGGAAGTGTGCCTACCCTACTGTGTACACCCAGTGTTCACTCACTTTGCATGAAAATTAAACGTTTTTGTCTTACGATGTAACTTTCAGTTTTGTCCACTAAACTATCCCCCTGTAATGATTAAGTGATTGCATCTAGTACTATGCATCCATAATTTTTTTTAAATATTTTAAAAAAGTTCATAAACAATTCTCCTACCTTAATATAACTAAGATATTTAACAATATATGACTATGGTGATTATTTTTGGGAATATTGTACAAAGTAGCAAGCAATGAATGCATGACATTTTATTCCGTTTCAGGCTTGTGACATTATTTCCAGTTGACATTATTTTCAGCGAATGGTGCAGGTATGGCGGCAGAGTATGTTAATGGTGTTCTGTTCAGACGAGTAGAGACGCACATAATCCCCAGAGAAGCTGACTTCCTTATTGCATACTCAACTGTTCCAGGTGAGCTGCTCCTCAATGTCCGTGTGTGTGTGTGTGTGTGTGTGTGTGTGTGTGTGTGTGTGTGTGTGTGTGTGTGTGTGTGTGTGTGTGTGTTGTGTCTGCTTGCCTGTGTGTCTGTCTGGTTGTGTCCGTGTGCTGTTCTCCTATATGTCCGAATGTAAATTGTTAAGTAAGCGCCAGGGATTCGTGTGATTGATCTTGTGAACAACGGCCCACACCTTCGGATTACGTTGACAGGCCTTCGACCATGTCATGCAGCGGGACCCCTCGTTACGGCTTTAATACCTACCAAATACTAGGAACCTATACAAATCAGGAATCTCTATATGGCGCAGGCAGGGGCACATCATAATGTAAGGTGATGGTGATATGTAGAGGTGCGTCCAGGAAACTCTGATAGTGGGTTCACATTCCTGAGTCGCATTGATTGTTTTCCTAGACTCGTCAGCATTTCGCCCGTGCTCATGGGTTTCGTTTCATTTGGGGCTTGGGGCTTCATTCCAACATCAAACTGATATATCTTAAATACTTATCATTTACACCACGATTACAGGTTTTTCTGTAAGTGTATATTTGTAACATTTCAGGTAACTTATCATGGGAAGGACAGGGATAACGAAGATCCTGGTTTATTCAGGCTTTCTGTGATGTCTTGGACAAGTACGGAACAAAGGAAGGCTGACTATGATGCAACGCGTCATCCGCCAAGTGGCTCACGACTTCGAGTTAGAATTGAAATCTAGCTTTAATATGAGAATTTAGGAAGTACGTTTTCAAAGCAAGTAATATACATGTCGTGTAAAGCAGCGATGGGTCTGTCAGAATTGCAAGACAGAGATTGTCATGACACTAACCTCGGTGAGACAGATGTTAATGTAAAAGAACACGTAGCTCACGACTTCGAGTCCAATGAAAGGACTGAATTGAGAGTTTATAGGGATACAATATTAATTCCATGTTGGCAAAAGATTTCATATTCCCAGATCAAATGGGAGATGTGACTATGATGCGTGTGCTTGAAAGTAATCATTAAATGTCTGTAAAATGGTAACTAATCAAAATAGGAGTTAGTGAGTGAGTATGTTTTTTAGCGTGACAAGAGAGCACTTCAACCACTGGGATACCCCACCACTACTGTGTTTCTGACAGGTACAGGATCCGCTCACCTTTTTCGCGAACACCAGTTGTAAATACTTTTCTACTGTGATTCATCAACACATGCTCCAGTAAAGGCAGGATGACTTCTTATGACTTCTTATTTCTTTCTCTTGAAATTATGATAATTAGGACACATTAAGTTTTGGTGTAAATTTAACAGTCTTGGTTAGATTTGACATGATACAAGGAACGCATTTTCTAGGTTTCCCTTCTTTTTGATTGACTTCCTTGCGTGACATTTCACGGCTCACTCGTGTAAGTGATTGAAGAAGAACAGCTCCGGGCTTCATCTCTTTATGAAGACATCGCACCATCCACGATCCAGACCTTGGATTCCGAATTGCAAAGTGCCCTGTTCCACAAAAACAGAAATAGATACCATAGAAAGCCTGGATGTTCCAAAAAGAATAATATTATTTGAAGATGAAATTGTATCTTTTTTGCTTCAATTCACCTGACGAAGGGGCAAGGAATAGCCCAGAAACGTTCTGACATACAATAAAGTAGAAGTTGTCATCCATAATATTTCCCTTTTACTTGAACACCAACTTCTAAATGCCTCTCAAGAACATCGTGAAATTGTCATTCGTGAAAAAGAGAGTACAATGTATCTGGAAACCTGAAGATTATTTTCTTTTATGGTTGATGTGAACAAGGCACCTGACAATAGTGTGAGTAATTGAGTGAGCGACGAACGCAAGAAGCGTCGTGCTGAAAGTATTAAAGAAGTCCATACCATACGTTGTTATGTTACCTGACATTCTAAGATGCTTCTGTGAAAGATCAAACGCGCCGACAGTACTTTATCAGACGATAATGTGCATTTTTGCATTACATCACAATGTATTGGTGTCACTCCGCCATTCTAGCTTGCCCCCTCGTAATCGAACAATTTTGCATTACGTCACAATGTAAGCGACGTCACGATGCATGTCAGTTGTCATCGCCTCGTACAACCTCATACAGTAAACTACTCCGTTGCATCCTGTTTCTTGGTTTGCAGTTGCTTCAAGCAGCTAACAACACTGGTGGGAACATTACGTGTATGTTTTACGACGGTTAAAATGTGTCAATTTGACTCACAAGTTTTCAGCGACACGGTAACGTTCGCACTGTTTACATTCCCACAATGCAATCGTGGAATGTCGCTTGACTACTAAGCTTCATCTGGATGCACTGATCTAAACTTACGTTGGTAGTAGAAATGCGACGTTCATATTGCCCCATATGGTTTACGTTAATGACAGATGTAATTAAAATAATTCAGAAAAGATATTTAATCGGAACGTAAACCGTCATGAAACTGTTATCATTTGTTTTTTTCTGGTAACGTTCATCTTAACGTAGGGGGCGGAGGGCGGACAGACACATCAATAGAACAGCGCGCCAGTTAGCCCTGTGCGAGGATTCTTAATTTAGGTCACCGACACCGTCGTTTGTTTTCTGCCTTAAATTAATCGTAATTATCCTTAGAAAGTATTAAATTTGGCATCTTAGAAAAGAAATACAGTTTGCTCTACCACCATGTATTTAAGAAATACAGTTCGCTCTACCACCATGTATAGTGTCATAAAACACACTTTCGCCCTGAACTATTATAGTTAAAGTACGAGGACGCTTGCGTCCGAGTGCTTTAACGTGATAATAGTTAAGGGCGAAAGTGTGATGTGAACTATGATGTTATTGGATCTACCTGTCTTGTGGTGTTATTGAATCTACGTGTTTTGTGGTGTTATAGGATCTACCTGTGTTGTTGTTATAGATCTCAATGTGTTGTAGTGTTATTGGATATACCTGCGTTCAAGCGTTATTAGATCTACCTGTCTTGTGGTGTTATTGGATATTGGATATTGGATCACAAATAACTGAAATAAGGATTTTTTAAAAATTAAAAATATATTTACCAATGTGGATTCATTAGCATCCATTTACGTAGGGGAATTTGGATTTAAAAAGTCCCTTTTAATAATATTTCAGTTAATCACTATTACTACCAGAAAGCGCTTCACACATTGTACCTGTGTTGGGAATCGAACCCGAGTCTTCGGCGTGACGGGCGAACGCTTAACGACTAGGCTACCGGGAGATAAGCAAAGACATTGCGGCGTTAGCCTCAGTTTCGCTGTCAGTTGGCACATAATCTGTGTGAGAATCGCTAAGACATGTTGGAAATAATCAAAATATGAAACAGGTTTGACAAGAATGTATCACTGCGAAGAATGATTAACGAATAAAAAGTGGAGATTCATGCATGCGTGCACGCATGTTCATCAGTTAATGAACATACATAACATACACATACATATTGAACTATGGGAACAGTATTAGGAACAATCTCTTACCGCTCTCTTCCATTGATACAGCTTCCAAGGACTGCTGTTGACCTTAGGGTAGATGTTACTGTCAACTGAGGTGCCTGCAATAAACACACACTTACAACCCCACTCAAACGTGATATATTTATCAAAATCACATGAAAGAACAAGGATATGTGAATCCACTGCATACCTGATAGTGAGTCGTGCCGTCCACTAACCTCTCTTTTGTGCGTCAAGCTTCTACGCTTACACCAGTGTTAGTTCACAAGGGGAGGTCGACAAAAGGCAGTTCACTTTGAATGCGCCTACAATATATGCACAATCATTTATGGCTAAGGAGAGTTAATCCTTTCGTATAACTTTGTATTTTTCAATCTCTCATCGAAGTGTCAAACACCGCTGGAAAGTGTCATACATGATTCATATCTTATTCAAAAGTAGGGGAGGAGGAGAAATAGGGTTTAACGTCGTACTCAAGAACTCTTCGCTCATATGACGACGTGCATGTGTGTGTACGTGTGGCTGCCTGTACTAGCCCAGACTTACTGAGATAGCATATCGCAGTTAGGCAGGTATACCCACCTCAGACACATGATACTGACTCTCAGCCGACCAGTCCTTGTTGTACCCATTAATGCCAAGCGCCAAACAGTGACCAACAGGTCCCATATTTTAACGTCTTTTGGTATGACGCGGCCGGGGATCGAACCTGAGACCTGAACCTGGACGCTCTAACCAGTACACCAAGGACGCGGTCTAGTCAAAAGTAAACATAGTAGCGTTTTTGCTGCACGATGTTGTTGTTTTACCTGTGTTCATGGATCCGGCAGTTGGTAAAAATGTTCTCATTTGACAGCTGATTCATTTATTGATGTAGACCTATTCGATAGTTTAGTCAAAGGTTGGTGTAACACTCAGGAATAAACAAAGGTTCGGGGACAAACCTTGAATATGACACCGGGTTTTATATCATTGTCGCTTAGTTAGATATCTGAGTTTCTGATTATTGCTCCTGTGGTTTTCTCTAGGTGAACAATTGACTTGGCTTTGCATGTGTTTTGTAACGGGTGTTATCGATGGAGGGAGATATGGGTACTTCCTTGTGACTATGTATCGTCGCCGTTTCATAGCGATTATCATGTAGCACGCACGCATGCACGCACAAACAAACATGCATGCATGCAGAGTGATAATTATTAATATCAGACAAGGTTATCAGGAAGTGTCAGGCGGTGGGGACAGTTTCTACACCTGTGTACATGCGATAAAGTAGGTATGCTGAAATTGTGCCGGCGAAAGAGTTAATGTTATCAACATGACAAATGCATTTATTTAATAGAGTATTGTATAGGTAGTTATGTGCAAGCAGTCAACACTCATATGTACAAGTCGGCAGCGTATATGATGACTTTGTATACAATTGAAACAAGTAACAGCAGTACGCCCCTTGGAATTCACCCCACCTTCCATTGTATGTGTTTACACAATATACATTTAAAGCGGCTAACCTCGATATATTATGTCCTTCCGGGGGAAAGCTCGCTACACCCTTTGTTATCTTACATGCAAGTCAGGCAGTAAGGCTTACAAACGTACATGTTGTGATCCATTTAAAGGTCAAGGTTTCAGCTCAAGCTCAAGTGTTTCCTTGCTGCTATATTAAGATTCTAGTGGGAACGTCTCTCGGGGAATCACTATGAATTTCGTGACAAAGCTTTCAAAAGCCACCAAGACCGAGCGTTTCACAAGCTGAATGTTTGAGTTGTTGTAGATAACAGGCATGTTTTTGGTGCACATTTCTTTTTGATTCAATGCCCGGTTTCATACATGTGTCTACTCTGAATGAGGACAAACACGGGGACACTGTCAAGCGGCGCTTGAACGTTCCCACATGCTAATTCTTTTATAATTTTATAGAGTTTTTCGTGAACTGAAATATATATTTGTACTGTGTGTAACAAGGTGCGGCAGGAATGATCATTCTTTGTCAAATCAAGTCAAAGAGATAATGCATATGGATAACCTTATTTTTGCTTATATAATCATAGGATTACACGATACTATACACGATAAATGCCCAAGTGCTGGAGGTGTAACATTACAGCGATGGCTTTAATTTCAATGCTAATCATTGATACGAATCGAAAATTTAAATTGACAAGAAGACGAACTGGTTTATAGTATTTAAATCTTTGCAGGACAACCTACCCTTGAAGAATTGGTCTTCAGCAACCCATGCTTGTCGTAAGAGGCGACTCAGACTTGTTGACTTGGCTGACACAATCATGTCATCGTATCCCAATTGCGTAGATCGATACTCATGATGTTGATCACTGGGTTTGCTTTTCCAGATTATATTATTTACAGCGGCCATATAGCTGGAGTATTGCTGGGTGCGGCGTTAAACAATAAACAAACAAACACAATGCAACGGGGGTCGTTTAAACTGTTGGAAAACATAACCTTTACCGCCCGCCGTGATGTTGCTGGAATATTGCTAAAAGCGGCGTAAAACCAAACTCAGTCAGTCATTACCTTTACCTAAGAATTCAGATTTGCCTTAAATATAAGGGTACAGAATTTTCATTCATGAAATACCGAATGCACTGAGTGACCCTGTAGCTACGTAAATGTATGTATTACACAGAGAGCCCACGCACATTACATGTAATGACCACAGTGTTCACACAATCTCATATTCATTATTGTATCCCCACTTTGAATTTTGAAACAATATCGAACCATTTATCTTGCCCAATATCCAGGCCACCTTTTTTGGTGAAAGCTCTCACTTTACTATTCCCGACATGCAATAGTTGGATAGACGCCATATTGGAGGTTCAACGAGCTTCGGGTCAATCCGTTTTGTATTCATACAGTCTGTCACGAGCGAGCAATCCCTGCATTTTGTGATACAAACATTCTATCCGGGATCGTTTTCGAGGCAGCAATAATTTCTCGTACAAGTAAAAGCAGCATTGTTTTAAGCAGAGTACAATTTGGGACACACCACTCCTGGTTTCTGTTATTCATTTCGAGCATGGCTGACAGTAAGTACACTATTTCCTGTTGACAGTTTGTGTTGGTTGGTGTTGGTGTTGGTGTGGGTCTGCGTAGACTGTGTCTGTTAAGAGTGCGAAGCAGTTGAATGGGAAGATTATAGATATGTAGTGTTCAGAGTGATAATTATTAATATCAGACAAGGTTATCAGGAAGTGTCAGGCGGTTGGGAGTCGGGACAGTTTCTACACCTGTGCACATGCGATAAAGTGGGTATGCAAACTCAAGATATGTTATTGGGTCAAAATTTGTCTTTCATTCATTCATTCATTCTTCATTCTTCAAGTGGAATCTTGAGGCAGAATTGAACCGTATAATGTATTAGGAAGAGGATATGAAAGAGGATACAGCTTTTTGATGAGGCGGAGACGGAGGGGGTGGGTGTGAGTGGTACGGGGTTGTGGGTTTGTGGTGCACAGTTTCTATAATGCTGGCGTTTTGGCAGCACGAGAGTTAATGATAACAACACGACGCAAAATATGTTATGTCGAAATACCCGGTATACCATTCATTCATTCAATTATTCATTCATTCATTTATTCATGTAAAACCCCTCTTGATACGCCTTGTGAAATAGTGAGTGAGTGAGTTTAGTTTTACGCCGCTTTTAGCAATATTCCAGCTATATCACGGCGGGGGACACCAGAAATTGGCTTCACATATTGTACCCATGTGGGGAATCGAACCCGGGTCTTCGGCGTGACGAACGAACGCTTTAACCACTACGCTACCCCACCGCCCCCTTGTGAAATAGAACAACTCGATTGACGTTTTGTGTGAGTTACAACTGACCTGACTAGTCTCTAACTACCTATCCAGGATATCCGGGACCTATATAGGTCCCCCAGCAGCAGGGCATGCTCGGTGATTTGGTTGATGTATGCAACGGTTTTCTAAAATTTATGAACAAAGTAAGTGACCCCCCTTGCATGTCATGTACAAAATCAATGACCCCACCCCCAATACTTTGTATGCATAATTTTTAAATTTTTCAATGTACGAAATTGCTGACCCCCCCTAGTACATGTGGTGCCCCCTCCCCAGAACAAAATGGGTGACCCCCCTAAAATCATAATCACCCCGCTAGCCCCTCAGCATGGATTATAGCTGGCGATGTTAATCACTGGATTGTCCGGTCCGGTTCGATCAATAACACACACAAGTCATATAGCTTGGATATTTCAGTGTTAGACAACAAACTAATCTAATTGACACATGTTTTGATATGTCAAACGTGTCGGTGTATCTGCTTTGACCAGATGTTTAAGCAGGTACCAGCAGCTTTAAATAGGGGATAGAACTTATATATAACTGAATAGTTTCCGACAAAGATAGATAATATTAGTATGTTTCAAAACCTCAAAGTTTTCATGAACGTACACTGTATTTAACGGTCATATGAAATATGCTTGAATTGTCTTATATTACAGGAAACTTTCTTTCATTCTTTTGACAACCTAGCCATATATGACAAACAAAGAATGCATTCGTACTATATCTCTAACGTTATTAAGTTTCAGTATTTTTTAATTTGTCGGTCTGGCAAAGAATAATGGTGTATCAATCCGAGTACTCCTGAAATTCAATTTATACATTTTGTCTATTATTCAGTGTCCTCGGTATAGACAGTATCAATGGTATCCCAGAGTGACAGTACTATATGCCATAGAATTTTATTTCCAAGTTTCAGGACACAGGCCCATAGAACATACATAATACAATTATACATGAACAGGTTATCACACGTGGAAATTACATCAGTGAATATTGAGTGACTCTCGTAATTTAAAAGCGTGGAAAAGATATTTCGAGAGTTGTGTAACAGTGTGTTTACATTTAGAAGACATAAGATGTACAATTTTTCCATATGATGGATTAGTGTAGGAATAGTTATCGAAAGAAATTAGCCTTAATGCTGAATATGAATTATATATTTTCGCTAAAATTAAAACCTAATCTTTGGCATTGTGGACATAGTCTTTTGGCTTCTTCTGTATAAGTATGACGTCCAGTTTCGATCATAAGTTTATGGCAGCAGCAGCAGAATCTTGTTAACGTCTCTTCATCTTCTTATATATTTGCTGAAGGCAAGATTCTATATTAAGTACTAATTTGAAAGCTTAATATGATTCAAGTTTCGATTTTTGAGATATGTTAACAGTCCACCACTGTTGACCACAGTCCATGATATGTTTTTGAACTGAGACTGACAGTACGTTATAGTGGGACTCAATGCGATCCAGAGCTTAGATGGCATCAATATTATAGCAATGGTTAGGGTGAGCCACTAGCTGTTAAAATATTTGTTTCATCTTTTAGGTGGACAAGATAGTGTAGACGCCGGGTCTGAGCCAAGTACAAGCACAGGTCATGTTACTCCAGGGTAAGATATTTTGAATTTTATGGACTGGGAGTTACACCTACCTACCTTCAATCTAATTGTTCAAAAGCAAAGTATGAATTCTAGAGTAGGACTGAGAGACAGGGGAAATTGAAACTTCTTTTTCATCTTGTAACAGTGGCATACAGACCCCAGTTTATACAGGAGAAGAATTCCAAGACAGAACATACAGGATGAACAGTGAGAAGCGTGGCCTGGCCATTATCTTCGACAACAAAAAGTTTAAGAACAAGCCAACTAGAACTGGAACTGACAAAGATGCTGGAAAGATGTACCAACGTTTCATGGAGCTTGGTTTTACAGTAAATATGCATCCAAACAAGAAAGCTTCTGAGATGAAATCAATTATTAAGAAAGGTACTTATATTGAAACTACTTTATCTCATAAGTAAGGGTTCCCTGTAAGATGTAACTGAATGCCACGGTTGGAGCTACTTCTTTGATCAGTAAAAAAACAGGACACTACTGGTCAATACATGTGGGATTATATAACAGTGTTTTCGCTAAACATTAAAGGTGTCGTTGATATTCAAAAATATCATACTGTTATTTTACAAATCTTTTGGATTTTGTTTTCACATAATCAGAAGCGATTATTATTTCATATACACAGAAGCGACAAAATCCTTTCCACATTCATAAGAAATCTCTGCTAAAAGCAGAGTCAATCGTACAATATGACCATACCATGAGCATATGTAAACCACTTTACCCGTACCAGCAGGCTCTGGAAGAGAGGTACAGATCAGCACATGGCTTTAATGTTAAAGATTCTGTGTCCTATCTCATGTGATCCATGTTTTTCATGTCAACTATCTATCCTAGTGGCAGCGTCGGACTTCACCTCCTATGATTGTTTCGCGTGTGTCATCCTGTCTTATGGCGAGGAAGGACTGGTCTACGGAACAGACGAACCTGTACAGATAGAAGACTTTGTAGATCCATTCAAAAAGACCCCGTCTCTGGCTGGCAAACCCAAGCTATTTTTTATACAGGTTATAGTTACTTTATGTTAAATGTGTCTCTTCATTTAGTGTCTTCCTCCGTTGTTTTTCGATGAAGAATCGAAATGTTCTTGAAGTAATCTCTGATTGTCTTTAAACCTAAACCTTTTAACAGAACGGACACATATTTTAAATCCTTTGTAAATTAATGAGTTGAAGAATGATGGAGATAGCCTGTTAGCCTGACACTTGTTCAATTGTTAAGATACAGATGAATTTGATCAAGTAGCGAAATGTTCCATCACCAACGTGAAGTTTATTCTACTTCAGGCTTGCAACAAGGAGGAGTCTGAGGACGTGATGGATGCCATGGACGTGACGGGAGATACTGAGGATGAAGAGTTAATACCAGTGACGTACAGGATCCCCGTTGAGGCAGATTTCTTCATTGCATATTCTGTCGTCCCAGGTGAGGTGATCGTAGAGGAACACCTAAAGCTTGAGGTGGTGATCACTCTTTGATGGTAAATGGACGGCTATATGTAGCATTTATTGTGAGTGAGTGAGTAAGTGAGTTAATATTTAACATGGGAGCGGCATTGTGACAGTCATATAGTGACGAGACACATTTTCTGAAAACATTTTCTCAGTTATATATTAACTCAGTATCCTTACTTCATGTAAACGGCAAGAAGAGCCCCTCGTTGCAAATGAAAAAGTAGTCATCAATAAATGGTTTATGTTCTCATGTTCTTCCCACCTCTAACTGACTAGCAAAGGCGACATCTTGTATCGGTCATGGATATACAATATTCGTCTACCAATTGGTCAATCCATTCTATCCACAGAGTCATGTAACTCCGAAAACTGGCATCAAAGTATATATTGTAACTACCGGGGTCTCAGCACAAAATAAAAGGAAAACACACCAAGTTCATTCCAGGACGAATTCAACAATGCTCTCCGTACATACCACTAGTAAACAACACACCCATTTCAAGCCAATCGCTTTTGGCTACCAAATGAATTAAAAGAATCAAAGCCGTTGTTTGGGGTCTTTGAAAGCTGTAAAAAATCGTGTGGGTTTTCGATTCCGAACCAAACTTCCTGCTCAGTATTCGCACCGTTAACTTACCGACTTTCTTGCTTATTGCATCTAGTACACAAAAGCCTTTCACCAAAACACGCAGAAACGCTAGTACCCGCCTCTGAATGAATGAATGAATGAATGCTTTCAGCAATATTCCAGCAATATCGCGGCGGGGAACACCTGAAATGGGTTTCACACATTGACCCGGGTCTTCGGCGTGACGAGCGAACGCTTTAGCCACTACGCTACTGAAATGAGCCAGCGATCTGATTGGGCATATTCTATTTATAGACAACCAGATCGCAGTTGCTTCTTCCATCTCCGAACTGATCATCAAAGGATATATCTTGTATCGGTTATGTACAAGCAATGCTGGTCAGCCAAGTGGTCAGTAGGTTCTATGATACAGACTGTTCTAATTTATGGATACTGCTTGTTAAGCACATTGCACAAAGAATATGACAGGCTTTGAACCAGAAATACCAGTCATTTCAGAATTGACATACCATTACAGATTCTTTAACTGGATGTGTTCATGTTACTTTTCAGGCTACTTCTCCTGGCAAGGCAATGCAAATCAAGGATCATGGTTCATCGAGGCGCTCTCTGATGTTCTGGAGAAATTCGGAACCTCCCTCGACCTGACGACAATGATGATTCGTGTCAACAGGAAAGTGGCTTACAACTTCGAGTTAAATAGAAGAACTGAATTCCTTGAGAGAAATAAGCAGATACCATGTATAACGTCCATGCTGACAAAAGAAGTACGTTTTCCAAGCATGTAACGTACATGCCATGTAGAGTCGCGATGGCCGATAGTTCTGTATTGCTGGATCGAGAGTGGCCACCAGCCTCAGTGAAGGTATTATGAGGTCAGAATATCATCAAAGATACACGTAGCATACATAGAGTCAGCAACAGCGGAAATGGACCAACAGTTCATGACCATACAATAAGACTACACATGTGTCACTGCATCAATACTTCATGGTTTATATGGCATGGTATGAATAGACCAGCATCATTTGAATAATACCTAAAACATTGATTCTTTGGTGCTTATTTGAACAGGGCCTTGCAACGCAAATAAACTAGCATCAAGGTATATACTGTCACTACAGGGTCTTAACACTATATAAAGGAAAAGAGGATAAAAACACCAAGTTAGTTTCAGGGCAAATTTAACAATATTCACTGTATTTCCCTATTAAAATTATGCACACTTTTCAAGCCAATATATTTTTCTACAAAATGAGACAAGAATCGAAGCAGTACTTTAGGAGCATGCCTGTCTGACAAGAATAAGCGATCTGATTGGCTATAAATAAAATATGCCCCATCATTACAATGATGTGATTTTGAAACACTATGTATATTCTTGTAATTAAAGTGGTCTAACTCAGTAAAAATAGTTTGAAGATTCGCTTTTTACAACATGTTTTTAATCAAACAACTTTAGAGCAACAGTCAAATGATTGAGAAGACTGATTGACAAGGTATGTACAATGAATAAAAGTAATCGATGACACAGAAGACGCCATCTTCATGGATAGCACACAATACACCACCTACATGGATTACATGTGATACCACCTTCATGGATAACACAGAATACCACCTTCATGGATGACACACATGATACCACCTTTATGGATGACACAGGATACCACATTCATGGATAACACAAGATACCACAACCATGGATAACACACAAGACGCCACCTTAATGGATAACACATGATACCACCTTCATGGATAACACAAGATACCACCTTCACGAATGACACACAGGATACCACCTTCATGGATGACACAAGATACCACCTTTGTGGATGACACACAGGACATCACCTTCATGGATAATGCAAGATACCACCTTCATGGATGACACACATGATACCACCTTCATGGATGACACACAAGATACCACCTTTATGGATGATACACAAGACACCACATTCACGGACGACACACAAGACACCACCTTCATGGATGACACACAGGGTACCACCTTCATGGATGACACAGGATACCTCCTTTATGGATGACACACAGGATATCGCCTTCATGGATAACGCAAGATACCACCTTCATGGATAACACAGGATACCACCTTCATGAATGACACACATGATACTACCTTCATGGATGACACACGATACCACCTTCATGGATAACACACAAGACGCCACCTTAATGGATAACACATGATACCACCTTCATGGATAACACAAGATACCACATTTATGGATGAAACACAGGACATCACCTTCATGGATAATGCAAGATACCACCTTTATGGATGACACACATGATACCACCTTCATGGATGACACACAAGATACCACCTTTATGGATGATACACAAGACACCACATTCACGGACGACACACAAGACACCAAAATTCACGGACGACACACAAGACATCACCTTCATGGATGATACACAAGACACCACATTCACGGATGACACACAGGACACTACATTCATGGATGACACACAGGATACCACCTTCATGGATGACACAAGATACAACCTTTATGGATGACACACAGGATACCACCTTCATGGATGACACAAGATACAACCTTTATGGATGACACACAGGATACCACCTTCATGGATAACGCAAGATACCACCTTTATGGATGACACAAGATACCACCTTTATGGATGACACACAGGATATTGCCTTCATGGATAACGCAAGATACCACCTTTATGGATGACACAAGATACCACCTTTATGGATGACACACAGGATATCACCTTCATGGATGATGCAAGATACCACCTTTATGGATGACACACAGGATACCACTTTCATGGATAACGCAAGATACCACCTTTATGGATGACACAAGATACCACCTTTATGGATGACACACAGGATATTGCCTTCATGGATAACGCAAGATACCACCTTTATGGATGACACAAGATACCACCTTTATGGATGACACACAGGATATCACCTTCATGGATGATGCAAGATACCACCTTTATGGATGACACACAGGATACCACCTTCATGGATGACACAAGATACCACCTTTATGGATGACACACAAGACACAACCTTCATGGATAACACACACAAGATATCACCTTCATGGATGATACACAAGACACCACATTAATGGATGACACACAAGACACCACCTTCATGGATGATACACAAGACACCACATTCATGGATGACACACAAGATACTACCTTCCAGGATTATACACAAGACACTACCTTCATGGATTATACACAAGACACCACATTCATGGATGACACACAAGATACCACCTTCATGGATGACACACAAGACACCACCTTCAAGGAAGACACCAGTGGATAGAGCACTGACCTTCAAGGGGAAGGTTGGTGGATCCTATGCCGTGTCATGCAACATTGTGACAAAAGATCGTCCTTGTTGTTCCCCTCTGTGGCGCTCAGTATCAAAGGCACCGTGTGAGTGGTGAATGCTGTTAACTTCGGCATAGCATCTCAGTTGGCATGCAGTAGAAGACCGACATTAGTCAGTCCATGCAGGTTGCTGTGTGAGTGAGACTTTGTCGAATTCGGTCACCAGCTGTAAACTCGTTCCGTCACTGAGGTTCGGTCGACTCGATAGCATGTGGTCTGCTATTCTAAGGACGACGCTCATGAGCACGCTCCATCTTTGCGATGGGACATCCAAGCATGATCGCATTATTGACGACTTTCGTTAAATAATTATCCTTATTATCCGTAAACATGAAGGGAGAAACGACGTTGATACCGAGCAGTCAGTCGATTTTGGGTGAGATCAACGTCCATTTGTTGTTGTCGTTATGGATGAGATTGTACTGAGTGTTGTTTACGATTTCATCATAGTCTAAATCTCCTAGGTTACTAGCAGTAGCACCTCCTGGGTCAGAGGGCACTTCCGTGTGTTTGTACACACTGTTTTTCAGTTGCAAGGCATACAGTCAGCCTGCGATTCTGGGTTCGTCAAATCCTGGTATGTCCCCGAGGTCTGAGATCGCTAGAGTAGTGCATTTTATGACACGTTATGCGGTTCTGGGACCTAAAGCTTGCGTCACTGTTTTACATGCAGCGTCCTGCTGAAATATCCTATGTGTATTGGTTTGTGATTTATATCTAAAACGGATATATTTAATTCCGTGATCATGCCTCAGGTTACTTTCTTGTACTGCAGGGACGGAAACAACTGCCTTTATTGTAGTTTTACCTTTGATTGGCACAGCTCTCAAAAGCCTGGAAGGCCGTTCGCCTTGAATGTTATCAGTCATGCTTATCTGATCGAGATGAATGCACGGTTGTTTGCGGTAGCATTTCACTCGACGTCAGCTAAGAGTTCTGGCCATAGGTCAGTCAAGTCTCAAGCTGTCTTCCCCGTTCAGTTTGAGTTCGCCTCCCAGCAGGTTGAAGATTTCGTCGTTGAGCAAGCACACACTGTAGTAACCGTCGGTAGGCATGTGTCGTTGTTTGTTGACAAAGATCTTATTGTTGGTGCCGTCGATGTTGGACGTTCACCACTGTAATCCCGCAGGTTCAATTCGTTGCGACCGAAGTCAACACCATGTTTTCTGAACAGAGCCGACAGAGCGAGCGCTGTTCTCTTGTTGGCATGCGTGAGATCGACTCCCAGCCTGGCTTTCACCCACAGCGTGCCCTTGCTGTCGAGTTCGATGAAGATCCTTTCTGAAGATTGAGGGAACCACTCAGAGTCAAAGCCGTCCATCAATCCTTGATGATCATGAACAATCCGAGCATGATCGATCAAAACCAAACGCTGCTGGTTCGATTCCCCAACCTGGCCGGGAACGATGGCATTGTCCCTGGAACAGCTTGCCTGGCTTTTCACAAGACTTTGGAGTCAGAATGACAAACACACGACTGTGCCGAACATCAGTCGAGCCATCATCAGGAAAACGACCATCAAAATCAGCAGCAACGAGGTGCTAAGCATAGAGGACAGCAACATGTTTTTCACTTACGCGGACCTCTGGAGAACTGCGGGCGAATGCAATAACATGTCATGTCAAGGAATTTCTAGGATTAGCAATACTATTAGGAATACGACTATAGCAAAATTATCCGTGGCATCTTCGCAACCGACACTGCCAGCTACGTCATAGACAACATTTCCATGGTGTTCGACATGGTCAAGATCCCGGAACTGGCCTGGCAGATTCGCAACCAGTATTCGGGAAAGCTGTCCATCCATTACGATTGCGTACTGTGGCACCAGAGGATTGTCAAGGACAAGAGCGACATGATGTCGAACATCAACCTGAAGTTGCCCCGCCTGATCTATAAAAGGCATTCTGATCGTTCCCATGGAGGAATACCGGTCGTTTCAAAGAGTCAGTGAACATACTTGGAACCCTAGATCACCATGGTGGAAATGACCGTCGAAGGTGTGACCAGCTAGCTGTTCAGGCAAGGCATGAGAGCCCACCAACAGTTAGACGAGATCCGAAAACTGCCGGCGATCAAGCGCATGCTGGAAATCAATGGGAGTGAAGAGATCATGATCCAAATCACCAAGAAGGCGCAAAATTTATATCTGTGCGTGATTATGGATGCGCAACTCAATATAGACAATGGAAGATTCGTGCAAGCCATCTATTAAACTGCCTTGCGATTCGCACTGCGCCATCGTGTGCAGTCAGACATGTTGCGGAAAAAACGGTGTTTGTGCTGCACATGCTGGGGGATACGATTGGGCCGTTTTCGAGCACATCGCCATTCTCTGCCTGACGTTGCGCGTGAGCAAAACGTACACAGAGAGATGTTGATGAATGACGGCGACGTGCACAAAGTTGATCTGGGAACCCCTTCTGCAGGACTGGCTGCGCTCTTATCACGACAGGTTTAAAGGAGAGTTGATGCTGTTCATCATAGGCGACTGCAGCGCCAACAAAGAAATCATAAAAAAACAAGGCATGCTGTCGTACCTGGCCTTTTCCAGCTGGCACGCGAAACACAGCATGTGGGTCCTGATGCAAAAATTCAAAGTGGATTGAGACTTTTTTGAGAGGCAAGCAGGAAGTCATGCTCCAACCCGACTCCATCGATTCGACCATCGACACGTCGCGTCATCGACACGTCAACGTCAAAAACAAAGGCGACGATAAATTATATTGCTTAGAGGCAGTCATCACATCCGCAATGTTCAAACCGACAGATAACCCTGCAGGCGTTCCAGCTTTCCCGCGGAAACCAGTCTCAAATTCACGGGCATAGATGAGCCCAGCCCAGTCGAAAAACAAAACAAATCAATGTGTTTGGCCATGAAGGCAGTAACAAACCCATCGTGCGACGCCAAAAACGTTGGCCGCAGGATCAATTTATTCCTGATACAAAAAGAACTTCACTATGAGTGGATAAAAAGCCTGAGCAGGCTGTTGCATGACCAATCGAAACACGATGGGAAGAAACACTTTTGTGAGCAGTGCCTGCACGGTTACATGCTCGTCGACCTGTTAGAAGTGCACAGAAAGGACTGCTCGGGCGTGTGGCAGACAGTGATTAGGATCAACATGCCCAAGGAAGACGACAACATCTTAACATTTGTCAACCACAAGAAACAAATGCCCATTCCCTACGTCATCTACGCCGACTTCGAGGCCCTAACCAGAAACGTCAAGGCCGCCACCGACACTCCAACCACCGAGTAGAGTTTCGATCGCAAAACACACAAACACAAGGTTTGTGGGTTCGGTTACGAATCCTCCCATGATCGACTGAGGTCAGGATGCAACCGAAAGGTTACTCACCTGCCTGCAATGTGAGGAAAAAAATCATCAGCAGAAATTTGTACAGAATCATCC